ATGTCTGTGAGATCAATCTGTGTTGTTGCTTGTTTTATGGTCCATTCATTTCTATCCTTGTATGGTATTCTACTATTGAAGAACATTAGGTTTGTTTCCATTTTAACCTATAAAAATTAGTGCTATTATAAACAAAGTTTTACTTGTCTCTTTGTGCACAAAAATATGTGACTTCTAAAAGGTTTTAGCTAAAAAAAAAATTGCAACTACTTTGTCAGAGAATGTATTGTCCAATTTAGTGGCTTCAAACAATGATATATATTTATTATCTCAAGCAATTTCAGCTACTTTGGAATCCAGGAATAGTTTGGCTGTGCAATCCTGGCTCAGAGTATTTCACGAGGCTGTAGTCAAGATGTTTTCCTTGGCTGCATTTATCTGGAGGCTTGACTGGGTTTGGAGGATCTGCTTCCAAGATGGATCACTCACACGCTGTTGGCAAGAGACCTCAATTCCTTGCCATGCTGGTATCTTCATAAGGTTCTTGAATGCCCTCATGACATGACTGCTAGCTTTTCCAAGAGGGACTGATCCAAGAAAGAGCACAGTGTGTGGAAGGCACAGTGTGTTTTATGACTTGAATTTGGAAGTCATACAAAATTTTACTGGTTACATAATTCATTCCTGTTTATTGTGGGAGGAGACAACTTTGTTGAGTGAATACCATGAGGCAGAAATCATGGATCCATGATGAAACTTGACCATAAAAGGTCAAGTTTTATGCATATATAAGCTTGTATAGACTCTATCCAGAGTTTCCAAAGTGGTTGTACCAATTTGCATTTCTATTAAGAGGTTACGTAACTTTGGTTTCTCCATATCTTTGCTAACACTGGATTTTGTCAATCTTTTCATTTTACTCCCTGTCATGTGAATAGTGATATCTCATTGTGATTTCAATATGGCTTTCCCTGATTAGAGAGGTTTTCTTATGTATTTATTGGTCATTTGGATATTCTCTTTTATGATGTAGCCATCTGGCACTTTTACTGCTTTTAGGGATTTTCTTATTTTTAAATTGATTTGTCTGAGTTTTTGTAAATATTATTTCTAAAAGTTCTTTGTTTTGAATCTTTCTATAAGATACATGTGTTAAAAATATCAAATATCCTCTCACACTTGCCTTTTGCTGGTTGGAGGGTATTGGATATTGAATCCAGGGGTAATCTGTCACTGAGCCTCATCACCAGTCCTTTATATTTTTTAAGATAGGTTCTCACCCAGTTTCCTAGGCTAGTCTCAAACTTCCTATTCTTTTGCCTTAGCCTCCTAAGTAGCTGGAATTACAGATGTCCACCACGATATGCCCAGCTGTGACTTGCCATTTTCATGCTCATAAATGTTGTCCTTTGTTCAACAAAAGCTCTTAAATTTAATATAGTCCAATTTATCAGTGATTATCTTTATAATTAACTTTTTTTGAATTTCTGTTTAAAAACTATTTCTCTACTTAAAGTCATAAAGGTATTTACCTATTACCTTCTAAAAGTGCTATTATTTCGTGGCTTGTATATAGGACTATGAACTGCACTTATTTTTTAAAGTATGATATAACATAGTAATCATAAGTTATGTTTGTCATTCAGATATTGAATAAGAAACACTTACTAGAAAGTCTATCCTTACCCTACTATAATTGCTCTACAGGAAAGAATTTTGTCATAAATCCAGTGTTCATATATACTATGGTTGGCTTTGGAAACAATTTTATCCTTTATATATTGGATCATCATTTCAGGGATACCACATTGTCCTAATTACTGTTGTTTTTTTTTTAAGTCTTAATATCTAATAGTATAAATCTTTTTATTTTATTTTGCATCACAATTTTTCTATCTATTTTAGATTCTTTGCATTTCTATGTAAATTCTGTAGTCAGCTTATATAAATTGCCTCCCCACTTAAAAAAAAAACTAATGGGATATTCATTGGAATTTTATTCAATCATTAGAAAAATCAAACATATTAGAACATTGAATCTTCAATTATTTCTATGTGATTCTTTACATATTTATTTGGGCCTTTTGTTCACTAATATTTTATAGTTGTTTATGGAGATATCTTATATATTTTCATCAATTGTACATTGCAAAATTATGCAATTCTATATGATATGATTTAAATAAATTTCAAATAGTTTTTCAATAGCAAATAGAAATGAAATATATTCACAATGAACTTGAATCAAACTTAAATCACTAAATCTAGTAATTTATCTGCAGATTATTTTAGACTTCAAATATATTTGCATTAGTTAGCTTTTCCATCACTGTGACCAAATACCTTACAAGAATAACTTGAAGGAAAGTTTTCTGAGGTCTCAGCCCAAGGTCAGCCAACTCCACTGCTCTAGACCTGAGATGTGGCATCATGCAGGAGGAAAGCCACTCAGTTTATGACATCCATGAAGCAAAGAAAGAGAAAGCAAAAAACCAAGGACAAAATATAATCCCCAAGAGCATGTCCTTAGTTGGGTGTGGCCTATCTCCTTCAGTCACACCCAACCTTCCCACAGTTACTACCCAGATATTCTATTCAAATTATTATTAATCAACAAATGAATTAATTCACTGATTAGGTCACAACTCTCATAATCTAATCATTTAAACTCTGAATGATACTGTGTTGACCAACACATGAGATTTTGGGAGGATACCTCATAGACAAACCACAACAATATTTTGTTTTGTGGTTTTACTGTCTAGGATCTTCAAATAATGTTGCATAGGTGAAGCAATGGTAGGTATCCTTGTTTTGCTCCAGTTGTGTATAATACTTTTGATTTAGTATTGTTAGGATATTTGATGCATTTTTTTAAGTATTTGATATTGTTAGGATATTTGCTGATATTTATTTTTTAAGACACTTTTTTTTATCAAAGGAAGTCCTTTCTATTTATAGCTGGTCAAACTCAGGTTTTTAAAAATCATGACACTAATAAATTTTATCACATGCTTTTACTTCATCTATTAATACATTCTTCCAATAAACACAACTTGATAGTGATATTTTATTTATTTATACAATTTTGAACTCTGTTTGAAATCATTTTGGAAATAATTTTTTGAGTATATATTGAAGAGAAATTAGCCTGAGATTCTTTGCTCTTGCAATGTCCTTACCAGAGTTTCTTTTTTCTTTATTTATTTCTCTCTGTGTGTGGTACTGGGGATTCAACCCAGAAACACTCTACTACTGAGCTACATTACCAATGTTCTTAATTTTTATTTAATTTATTTTTGAGACAGGGTTTTGCTTAATGGCTTAGACTGACCTGGAACTCAGTGATCCTGACTTAGTTTCCTAAGTATCTGGGATTAGAGGTATGAAACACTGTGACAAGTCCTTTCAGATATTTAGATAAAGTTGACTCATAAAATAAAATGGAAAGTTTATGTAGTTCTTTCCAATTCTCTAGAAGTGATTTTTTAAATTTTATATTATCACATCCTTAAATACTTAGAAGAATTTATCAATGAATCCATCTAAGCTTGAGGTTTTGTTTTTCTGAACAAGTTTAAAGATATATCAAAATGAGAAGTATCCAGATTTTCTATTTTCTGCTTGTTTCAGCTTTGATTCATAATAAAATATATGATCATAATTATCAAATTCTTTTTGCAATTTTATTTTTCTAGTATATGCTCTGTGTGTGTGTGTGTGTGTGTGTGTGTGCATGTTTATTGTGCTGGCAATCAATGCTAGGTAAGTACTTGACCCCTGGACCATCAACCACATCCCCAGCCCCTGGTATGTGGTTTTTATGTATTAGTAAGCTTTCATGCTCTCTTTGCTGCTCATATTTTTCTTACAATGTCTTCCTATTTATGTCCTGCCAGATCTTTCTCCATTCTAGAAATAC